GGCTTGGTGGAAGCTGCCGCGAGGGATGTGCAGGCAAAGGGCAGGCTGCAACCCTGGAGCAGCAAAGGCTGACGGCCAGAGGGCTTGGTGGAAGCTGCCGCGGAGCGTTTTAGGGGTTTTAAGGGGTTGAAGGCTGGCAAACGGCAGGCTCGAATGCCCTAACAAGAGAGGGCTATGTGCAGGCAAAGGGCAGGCTGCAATGCTGGAACGCTGACGGCCAGGAGCTTGGTGGAAGCAAAGGCTGACGGCCAGAGGCCTTGGTGGAAGCTGCCGCGGAGGGTTTTAGGGGTTTTAAGGGTTTGAAACCCTGGAGCAGCAAAGGCTGACGGCCAGAGGCCTTGGTGGAAGCTGCCGCGGAAGGTTTTAGGGGTTTTAAGGGTTTGAAGGCTGGCAAACGGCACGCTCAAATGTCCTAACGAGAGAGGGCTATGTGCAGGCAAAGGAGGGTTTTAGGCATTTTAGGGGTTCAGAGGGCTTGGTGGAAGCTGCCGCGGAGCGTTTTAGGGGTTTTAAGGGTTTGAAGGCTGGCAAACGGCACGCTCGAATGTCCTAACGAGAGAGGGCTATGTGCAGGCAAAGGAGGGTTTTAGGCATTTTAGGGGTTCAGAGGGCTTGGTGGAAGCTGCCGCGGAGCGTTTTAGGGGGTTTAAGGGTTTGAAGGCTGGCAAACGGCAGGCTCGAATGCCCTAACAAGAGAGGGCTATGTGCAGGCAAAGGGCAGGCTGCAATGCTGGAGCGCTGACGGCCAGGAGCTTGGTGGAAGCTGCCGCGAGGGATGTGCAGGCAAAGGGCAGGCTGCGACCCTGGAGCAGCAAAGGCTGACGGCCAGGAGCTTGGTGGAAGCAAAGGCTGACGGCCAGAGGCCTTGGTGGAAGCTGCCGCGGAGAAAAGTTCCACACCTGCGGTGGTCCCAGGCGCCGCCCCGGCCTTGGCGAAGGCCGGGGTCGGCGGATTATCTTGTAATATAGTGTCTCCATACTAACAACAGAAGACTCTGCTCCTCTACGCTCTCGGGCCATCCGTCGTCTAGTCAACAATTTTGCGTGTGAATTGTTTTCTTTGATGGGATACAGCTTCAACCCCAAAGCCTCTTTCTGCAGCCATCGATTCCCAAGCAACATTTCCATCTGGATATACCACCGTTGTGTTAGGGATATTTCCTACCTTACGTCTTTATATATATATATATATTTTTTTTTTATGGGTGATATATATATATACACACTGTTTAATTATTTGTATATCTCCTAATCCTGGCGAGGACCTCACAGGGTTGTATAGGTATATATATATATATGCACATATATATATATAGAATACATATATAAACATGTAATATATATATATAATTGCAGTGGCTCCACCTGCCAGACGACCTGACCCCTCACCTGGGAAATATACAACATATATATATATATATACAACACATATATAGACATAATATATATATAATTGCAGTGGCTCCATCTGCCAGACGACCTGACCCCTCACCTGGGAAATATATAACATATATGTGACATACAGTAGCGTAGCATCATATATGTGAGGAAATGCGAATGAACGTTATTACCCCACCCCACCCCACCCCACACAATAACGTAGCATCATATATGTGAGGAGGTGCAAATGAACGTTACCCCACCCCACCCCACCCCACACAATACGTGCATCATATATGTGAGGAAGTGCAAGACGACATACAGTAGCGTAGCATCATATATGTGAGGAAGTGCAAGACGACATACAGTAGCGTAGCATCATATATGTGAGGAAGTGCAAGACGACATACAGTAGCGTAGCATCATGTATGTGAGGAAGTGCAAGACGACATACAGTAGCGTAGCATCATATATGTGAGGAAGTGCAAGTGAACGTTATTACCCCACCCCACCCCACCCCAATGAGCAAAAAAACAACAAAAGTACGCGGCCGTCTACTACTAACTACTACTAACTACTACTAACTACTACTAACTACTACTAACTACTACTAACCCCCCCAACCCCCTACCCACCCACAGGGGGGGCGGGGAACATAGCTCCTGTATATCCATACCCATTCCTACTACTAACTGCTACTCACTACCACTAACTACTACTAACCCCCCCACCCCCTACCCACCCACAGGGGGGGGGGCGGGGAACATAGCTCCTGTATACCCATACCCATTGGGGGGGGGAGGGGGGGGACCTGGGAGGCTGCATCATATATATATATATAACCCATGCCATGGTTATGTAAGCAACTCTTGGGAATGGAAGGACATCCAGCTTCCAGACAAATTAAAACCCATTACTAATGTACCATTTTGATAGCTTATGGAGCTGATGCTTGGAGCCCGCAGATGCCACACGGAAGGATTGCAGTCGAGCGCTTTCGCGATGTAGATTTGGTGCCCTTAGAAAGCGTTCTCCAGACGTGCGCGTTCTGCAACTCGTCCCGCAACGGGTCAACTGACACTGACAATATGGCGCCATGTGTTCAGCCTTCATAACTTTTGCATACTTTTGCACTATCAGCAGTATCTGTTGTTTTTTCTAAACCCCGGCCACAGCTGAGGCAAGCCCCACTTCCACTTTCAGAATGGCGACTGTTCGAAGTGTGGAATCTTCAGTGCTTGGTCTGATGGAAAGACTGATGTCTGTTACGTTCTGCCGCCCAAGAAGATGGAACTTATCACGCTCTTGATAGGTGCTGCCGTCGTGGTCACGTTGACTTTCATTGCCTTGCAGATTTTGCATGCTCCTTTGATCATCGTTGATGCGAAATCACATGTGGCAGACTCAACACAAGCCGAAAGCAAGAAGATTTTCATGCTTTCCGTGCAAGGGCCGATTGTTGATCTACACAAAGGCATGTCTCGCTTGGTGCACCGGTGGGTGCGTTATCGGGCAAGGGGAACGGGGTTGATATGGCTAGACTATGAGCAGAAGAAGTCCAACGCAGTCAAAGTTCAAAACACCGGAGACAGAAAGCTGTTGCTGAAAGACATGAATCCCCCTTTTGATTGTGCTTCGTGCAAAGGTTCTTTGCACGCTGCTGATTTTTTAAAGCTGCTCAGCCTGCTTGCTGCCTGCATATCAGTGACAGCTATGCTACCTGCAATCATCAAAGTAGCAGTCATCTCCGGAAACGGTGTGGGGCATGTTTTCGTCGCTTTGGCTTGCAAAGAGAGCTGTTTTGGTGTACGGAATTTGTTTCATGAGTTTAAGTCCTGTCTTGTGTTTTGTTTTCATGGGAAAGACATGGAAATACATTATTGGCTGAGGTTACAGCAATTTTTGTGACTCTTCCTTTAGTTGCTGCTGCTGCGCTGCTGCATTTTCCGGTGGCATGGCTGATCCAGTGGCTTTATCGAAGGACGCCATTTTCACGAGCTTTGGATGAATACCGAAAGCAGATCACTTGCAAAGAAGACACGGGGCCCGATGCAGCCCATCCTCGCAACCAGGGCTTGCAGGTCTTGATTTTGCACGGCTTGTGGAAGCACTTCGAGAGCCTCTTTGTTCCCGCCAACAAAGTTTTCTCGTGTTGTAATGCGTGGTGCTAGGGGGTCTGGATCGAAAATGTCCTTATGCTCCCATCAAAGGGCTTGTTTCATATTATTGCTCGAACTTGAGCAAGTCTGAAAAAGATTGTAACTAAGGGAAAGTGAGTGTCGCAACTTGCCCCAGTCAGGCTTCATTCTGGATCGCAATATGCACTTTGTGGTTGCCAACATAGTCAGGCCCCTGACGCGAAGCAAACAAGTTTCCTTTGTAACTCTTTGGGGTGGCAGGCAGCTGGATTATTTTGTGTCGCTTGGCATTTGCCTTTGACAAAGTTTTAAACTGATTTGCTTTCGTCGTCCAAGCCGCGCCAAGCTTCCCGCGCGATTTGGGTATAAGGTCTCATTGCTGGGGCGCCAACTTTTCGCACTTCGTGCGTTCCATCCAGTGCCATGCTCTGTCAAAAGAGGGCCCCACTTCTTGGTTCGATGCGGCGTATTGGATTTGTTCGTTTGCAACTTGGAGGATCAACACGAACCCATCACCACTGTTTCATATATAGTTGTTTTTCACAAGCATGGCAGTGGAGTACATGAAATTGAAAGTTGTAGGTGGTAGATGGACCTCAATATGTGACAAAACAAGGTGTTCCACTCTCCTAAGTGCGAGACAGGCTGTAAAACTGTTATCTAAAGATACGGTCTTTTATCGAGTTGACAATTTTGCCCAGGCGAACAACCAGTGGAACATCGGAGCCGAACTGGGAAATGATCCAATGGGAAGTGCCTTTGCACACGCATTGACATCGGGAATAAAAGGAGTTGCGATGGTCCTGGACGAGGAAGTGCAGCCTCTCACAAGTGACTCCACCAAATGTGGGACAGCACGGGGAATTGATGGGAATTGCATGGATTCAATTGCTATATGTGCTATGTACGCTTTTTTAATATCTTTGTGCACTTTTGGCGAAAGCTATTTGCCCAAAGAGCAGAGACTTCTGTGCTTAGGAGTTTGGTGCTTATTCGAATTTTTCCTGTCCACCCGTGAGCGCTTGGAGTTGGTTTTCGTCACCAATGCTGGTGTGGTGGGTGATGATGCTTGGCGCGCACTGGTTTGTCTCAAAGTGCGTGGGACCCGGCAACCAACCTTGTTCGTATGAAACGAAGTGTAATAAGTCCTATGCATACGGATTGCCAGTGCGAATGTTGTGGGAAAGATCTTGTTCCTACACTAGTCAGCTTTTGAAAAAAACTCAAGTTTGCGCCTCCAACTTTTCGCCAAGTTTGTGGGTTTGTGTGAGTCTGGAGCGGGGCCTGATGGGTGTAAGAGTAGGGAAAGGCCAACGGCCCGTCCATTTTTGTTTCCTGCATCGCCAACAGGAATGTTATAAGCTTAATTGTCCTTGGAGGCCTTGGGCTATAAAAGGTCCGGTGGTTCGAGATGCGACAAGCATGCTGTAACCTGGTCGGCAAGGGCGCTCGACATGTGTTTTGTTTGATATGTGCCAATGTGGTCTTTGCTGCAGGATCGCTGCAGCTCCTTCGACATTGCGCTGGAGGTGGGTAAGAAGATCAAGTCTCTGCAAGTTGCTACGTGCGAAGCATCTTCCGAGAAAGACAAGACACTTGATTCCACCGAATCCGCTTCATTTCTAATGGAATTTGGACGTTTATTATGATTTGCAGCTTGCGGTATACGAAAAAACCTTTCATGCGGGTAATTGGATAATCTATTTACCGGTCGACCTTCATATGTACCATGTTTTCAGCCTGAGCCCGAACAGGCTCAACCGCGGCCGACGTGTTTGCCCTTTATACATTTTGAATCAGGGCATTGTTTTTCGGTTTTAAGTTTGCTCGTTTATGTTTGTGAGCTTTTGCTTGTCAGTCTGGCTTCTTGGCTTTTGTGTTTTTTTTGTTTTCCGGTTTTTGTGGCAAAAAAAAGTATAGGTTTTTGCTTCGAAGCTTTTGCCTTTTGAGTTTTTGGTTTTGGCTTGGGGCTTGTGTGATTTCTTGGCAGTGTGCTGAAACTGTTGTACAGACAACAAGCAAAACATCGATGGACAATAATAATCATGATATATCATGATTATATATAAAAAAGGGCAAATCCAATATCAAACAGCAAAAACGAGAGCAGGAATTTTGCCCTGAAATGCTGCCGCAAATACAAGTAAGATACTTCAGCACCAAAATGCTGCAAATACCGTTCAGATCACAGATAGAGCAATCAATATGCTGCAAGCATTGCGCAAACAGCAGTGGGGAAAAGCACAAACAAATCTGTTTTAAACCTAAACCGACCCTAAAGAAACATGAAACCAACCTTACATATACCCTAAACCAACCCTAAATAAACATTGAATCAACCCCAAGTAAAGCCTAAACCAACACTACACAAACCTGAAACTACCAGGTAGTGCGCGGCACGCGCCGGGGCGGAAGTTGCGAACACAGGACATGACTATAGGAAGAAGATGGCCTATAGGAAGGCTTTTGAGATGCAGAAGCAACGAATCGTTGAAGTTTTGAAGTGCATCAACGAATGAGCAAATGGCTGTTGTTGTGCCAATGACAGGACATGAAATAATCCATGCGCAACAGATTGAATGAATCAATGAACCTATGAACCCATGTATCAATCAATGAATCGATGAACCAGTGAAACAATGAAGGAACGCAGCAAGCGTTTCTGAAACCTTTTCTATTTGGGGTCTATGCCGGTGTAATTTTGAGTTTGCGTTTCGATTCTTTTTACAATTTGTGGTATTTTGGGGAGAGTGCCATTAAAGAATCCGGTCCTGCTTCCCGACACACGGGAGGGTGTCCTTAAAGAATCAGGTCCTCGGTTCGAGCTGGCGTTTTGATTTTTTGGAGGTTTATCATGGTTTATCCCTTTACAATTTACACCCTTCAAAACATCTGTCAAATCTTCTCTGCTTGTCTAGTGGATGCCGCATCATGCCTGTAATAGAAAGGGCTAGCGCCCAGGTGCCGCCGACCCCACTATTGTGGGGTCGTGTAGAGAGAGGGAGAGAGATAGAGGGAGAAAGGTAGATAGATAGATAGATGGATACATAGAGAGATAGATAGATGGATACATAGAGAGATAGATAGGTAGATAGAGGGAGAGATAGATAGATAGATAGATAGATAGATAGATAGATAGATAGATAGATAGATAGATAGATAGATAGATAGATAGATAGATAGATAGATAGAGAGATAGAGAGATAGAGAGATAGATAGATAGATCAAAACGTGCCATGTAGCAGTTTCGAAGCCCAATAGAAACAGTTTGTAGGGCCTATGGGGAGGTACGATGGCAAAGCAAGCGGAGGGTTGTGCGGTGCTGAGGCTTTCGAAAGCTGCTGCAGGGCTTGTGAAGGTTTTAAGGCCTGCCCAAAACGTGCCATGTAGCAGTTTCGAAGCCCAATAGAAACAGTTGTAGGGCCTATGGGGAGGTACGATGGCAAAGCAAGCGGAGGGTTGTGCGGTGCTGAGGCTTTCGAAAGCTGCTGCGGGGCTTTTGAGGCTTTTAAGGCCTGGCCAAAACGTGCCATGTAGCAGTTTCGAAGCCCAATAGAAACAGTTTGTAGGGCCTATGGGGAGGTACGATGGCAAAGCAAGCGGAGGGTTGTGCGGTGCTAAGGCTTTCGAAAGCTGCTGCGGGGCTTTTGAGGCTTTTAAGGCCTGGCCAAAACGTGCCATGTAGCAGTTTCGAAGCCCAATAGAAACAGTTTGTAGGGCCTCTGGGGAGGTACGATGGCAAAGCAAGCGGAGGGTTGTGCGGTGCTGAGGCTTTCGAAAGCTGCTGCGGGGCTTTTGAGGCTTTTAAGGCGTGCCCAAAACGTGCCATGTAGCAGTTTCGAAGCCCAATAGAAACAGTTTGAAGGGCCTATAGGGGAGGTACGATGGCAAAGCAAGCGGAGGGTTGTGCGGTGCTGAGGCTTTCGAAAGCTGCTGCGGGGCTTTTGGAGCTTTCTAGGCCTGGCCAAAACGTGCCATGTAGCAGTTTCGAAGCCCAATAGAAACAGTTTGTAGGGCCTATGGGGAGGTACGATGGCAAAGCAAGCGGAGGGTTGTGCGGTGCTAAGGCTTTCGAAAGCTGCTGCAGGGTTTGTTAAGGTTTGAAGGTTTGCCCAAAACGTGCCATGTAGCAGTTTCGAAGCCCAATAGGAACAGTTTGTAGGGCCTACGGGGAGATACGATGGCAAAGCAAGCGGAGGGTTGTGCGGTGCTAAGGCTTTCGAAAGCTGCTGCAGGGCTTGTGAAGGTTTTAAGGCGTGCCCAAAACGTGCCATGTAGCAGTTTCGAAGCCCAATAGAAACAGTTTGTAGGGCCTATGGGGAGGTACGATGGCAAAGCAAGCGGAGGGTTGTGCGGTGGGCTTTTGGGCGCTTTTAAGGCGTGCCCAAAACGTGCCATGTAGCAGTTTCGAAGCCCAATAGAAACAGTTTGAAGGGCTTGTGGGGAGGTACGATGGCAAAGCAAGCGGAGGGTTGTGCGGTGCTGAGGCTTTCGAAAGCTGCTGCGGGGCTTTTGAGGGTTTTAAGGCCTGGCCAAAACGTGCCATGTAGCAGTTTCGAAGCCCAATAGAAACAGTTTGTAGGGCCTATGGGGAGGTACGATGGCAAAGCAAGCGGAGGGTTGTGCGGTGCTAAGGCTTTCGAAAGCTGCTGCAGGGCTTGTGAAGGTTTTAAGGCCTGCCCAAAACGTGCCATGTAGCAGTTTCGAAGCCCAATAGAAACAGTTTGTATAGGGCCTCTGGGGAGGTACGATGGCAAAGCAAGCGGAGGGTTGTGCGGTGCTGAGGCTTTCGAAAGCTGCTGCGGGGCTTTTGAGGCTTTTAAGGCCTGGCCAAAACGTGCCATGTAGCAGTTTCGAAGCCCAATAGAAACAGTTTGTAGGGCCTATGGGGAGGTACGATGGCAAAGCAAGCGGAGGCTTGTGCGGTGCTGAGGCTTTCGAAAGCTGCTGCGGGGCTTTTGAGGCTTTTAAGGCCTGGCCAAAACGTGCCATGTAGCAGTTTCGAAGGC